GCGAATTTGTTAATCACTAATGTAAGAAAACAAGTTTATATATAAATAGGTAAAAAAACTTCTCTAAATATAGTATACAGGTGCTCATATAGACAATTCTGTACATAGCCATCTTCCGACAGCACTATTTAATCAGTCAATTATAAAAAGAGGCCTGCTTTACATTCTGTGGTGCTGTTAGGTTACTTTTCTCAAAAACATGACTTTTTACCCTGGCTCGTATGGCTTAGTGGATTGAACGCCAGCCTATGAACTGAAAGGTTGCCAGTTCAATCCTGAGTCAGAGCACGTGCCTGGGTTGCGGGTCAGGTCCTGGTCCCCAGTAGGGGAGTGCAAGAGGCAACCAATTGGTGTATCTCATCACACATTAATATTTCTCTCCTTCTCTTTCTCCCTCCCTTCCCCTCTCTTTAAAAAAGTAAATAACATCTTTAAAAAAAAAATGACTTCTCTTTGCTACTTGCCAATATAAAATATGACTATTGATGAAAATTTGAATTTATAGCATGTGTGGCACAGGTTTATTGGAACGAGGATATAAATGTTCTCAATCTTTGTTTTAGAGAATTAAAGTGATTTTTATTAACATGACCCATTTTGAGCTCATATTTAATCTTTCATGGCTTTGCTAACAGATCTGCTGCTGGGTGGGAAACCAGCAAACTTTGAAATCTGCGTGGATTCAATCAAGTGCCAGCTCTTCCCTCGCTAGCTATGGGACTTTAGGCAGAGTGCTTAACTTTGCTGATCCTCAGCTGTAGAATGGGGTTAACAATAGTACACACTTGCTAGAATTGTAAAGATTAAATGTGAAAACACATAGAGCATGTATGCTGTGTCTGACACATGCAGTGTGTACATGTCAAACTATCACCACAGGAATGTTAGAGTTAAATTATGTCTAAAAAGTACTGAGCACACTGGATGGCACATACAAGCACTCAGGGGTAGCTGTTACTGTCATGGTGGTTGTTTGAAGTACAGCACACACGTGTACTGTTTGAAATGTACCTTCTCTTTAGCCAGGGAGGCAAAAAGTCATACAGCAACAGAAGAACCTGTCAGACCAGAACAGATCTCAGGCTGCTGACAAAGGAGAGGGTGATCAGCCTGAGAAGTGTGGACTGAAACAAACTGCTCCTGGAAACAGGCGAATGCTCCGTAGACATACTGTCAATGATGCAATTGTACTGAAGGGCCCAGAGACTGCCAGCAACCTCACTGTTCCGCAGGAGGCTAATATTTCACAGTCTTAACAGTAATAAGAAATTAATTTTGTTGCCAAGGAGTGAGTCCTTAACAGTAAGATGCCGAGCATGAATAGAACTTAAAACTCAATGTACTTTCTGTTTGGCTTGAGAGAAAGCAGAGAGTTCCTGAAAGCTTTTCTGTGGCTGGAAGATACAACAAAGAAAATGATCACCATCTCTTTCCTCTTCACAGCTAATGAATATGCTTGAAAAGGACTAGACAAAAATTCTAGTGGTGTCCAGTTCCTTAAGATTGAGGTGTATGAGTCTTCTTAAATTTTTTAAAAATTGATTTGGAGAAACATTGATTTGTTGTTCCTCTTATTTATGCTTTCATTGGTTGATTCTAACATGTGCCCTGATCAGGGATCAAACCTGCAACCTTGGCGTATCAGGACGCTCTAACCAATGAGCGCCCCAGCCAGGGCTGTTTCTTCTTAGTTATTAGGGTTCCTTGGTTACAGTGAGAGTTTTCATCACCAGATTCTGACCTCCTCCTGCTGAAAGGTGCTAAACCTCTGTGACATATATAAATTAACCACAAGCTAAAAGAATTCCTCCAACTGGGATGAGCTGAAGAGAAGCAGTTTAGGTTCTATGGTATGGTGGAGCCCAGGCAGAAATGTCACATTTGAATGAAGAAAAAAATAGTACCTGGAAAATGTTCCTTTGCAAAGCAACACTTGAACCCAAAGATACCTAAATGCCATTTTGATGTTCATTTTAGTGAAACTATGTTCGACTCTATGTATGTGGGAAAAGGTGGGTATAATTTTTCTAACAATAAAATAAGTACAGATATCTGATCACTGCACACGTGCACCTGTAGCAGTGTCTTTAGAAACACACTTTTCCATTAGGAACCTTCCCTTAAATATTTGTCACATCCGAGGATGATGGTAACAGAAAGTAGATTTGGCACATCTTTTTGTTGTCTTTTAATTCAGATTCAAAACTTAATAGCACAAACCAGGTCAAAGTAACTTTGAGTTAGAATTTAATGCCATTTATTCCTTTTTATGAATTTCTATAAATTATACTCTTATTTTTTTATGTTAATTGGTATAGATCCACAAACATGGATTTGTTCTGAGTACATTTTCAAGTAACTTTGTAATAGGGCAATGGCTTTGTGCATGTTCTTAGAAATACTTGTGTATGTACAGAAGGGAGGGGCTGGTTATTTTTCTACAAAGTAATTTATGATTTCTAATTTTCTAATGTGCCTTGGGTATGTGCCAAATGATGGGAAAGAAACAGTAAACTTTATGATTCTTGAGCGTGTCATGGTGTACTTTTTTTAGTTTATGTTTTGCTATGGAGATAATGTGTTTCAAAACCTCTCTGCTACAAGCATGTGCTTTGTGTGGAGCACTGGAGGAAGATTTTATTTTTCAGTTATAGGAGTGACTGACTGAAATGTAAACTGGATCATTCAGTGCACATCATTAACCATCTACCCTGACTAGGGCTGACAATACGTTAGACATGGTGCATAGGGTCCACAAAAATGATTTCTTTTAAAATCAGAACAAAAATGAATATATTATAGCTTCTGAGCCCACCCACACAGGAAATGAGTGCTGTAGCTTTGCAAATTTAATTCATTTTTCATCCTTTTCTCCACTTTTGAACAACTCATTGACTTAAGTTGCTATTGCTCTCTACCATCCTAATTAAGAAACCATATCCTATAGTTTTATCAAAACAGCCATTTCCAGTACACAATGATACCACCAAATTTTTTGGATAGTACAATATAATTTTAACAATTGCTCTGGCAGGCAGAATCATCAAATGAGGAAATAAGTTCAGAGAAAAGGGGCTAATTTGCTTGCGCTATCAGAGCTGGGGACAAAGCACAATTGGCAATGACTGGCAGTATCTGAATCTGCAGTTTCCAGCTTGGTGTACCCTTCTCCTAGAGACAGAAACACCTGAATGGACTGTCAGTCTTAGGGGAGGAGTTTCCTCTTTAGCTAAACTGGTAATCAGCAGAGTGAGCCATCTGAAGTGATTTCCCCTGATTATATTTAAAAACACTTTGGGGTTTTTTTCCCTCCAATTGCTTTCCCACTTAAAACTAAACTTGAACCCCTTTTAAAAGCACTCATTGGGCCTTTCCAGCGTTTGGGTGAGTGTTGTTGAACTACTTGTTTGACAACTTAGAAATTGCTAATGCCCAAATTTCAATTCTGAATGTTTTGAATTCAAAGTATTGCCAGTTTAGAATAACCACTCCCCATTCCCTAGACTGAAATGTGTTCCACCCAAGAACTTCTCTCCCTGTATACAGACCCATTTTCCATTCTCAAATGTCTTTGAAACAGAGAGTTTGACAATCTTTAAACATATCCACATCAGTAGTTGACAGTGGTAACAATACTTGCTGAGAATTGTCTGGTGTCCCTCTGGCATTTTTATATAACTGAGATCTAAAGCAAAATTTACCTGTAATTGGATTTTTTGTTTTTCAAAATCCTTCATTGAAATGTACTTTTGACTATTTAATTCTGTTCCTTTAAAAAAATGCTGACGTTCTTAATGGTTCTACTCACTCATTTGTTCATTCAGAAATCCTAGTCACTGCCCTGGATGGTGTGGTTCACTGGATTGAGCACTGGCTTCCAAACCCAAAGGTCACCGGTTCAATTCCCAATTGGGGCACAGGGTTGCAGGCCAAGTCCCCAGTTGGGGGCATGTGAGAGGCAACCTCACGCAATGACATTTCTCTCCCTTTCTCCTTCCCTTCCCCTCTCTCTAAAGAAGTAGATAAATAAAATCTTTTTAAAAATTAAAAAAAAATACCAGTCACTGAATTTCAACATTTTCTTCATTAACTACAGTTACAAATTTCAAATCTCTAATAAACTCTCAAATGTACAATAATTTAAACATACTTCAGCAGTATGCTAGCTAAAGCAGAGATTACAACTGTAAACTACATTTCCCATCACTTTTTTGCAGCTAATTCTATTCATCACATTAAACATTTTAACTTCCTCTTGGGCTGGGTCTCAGAGCTAAGACATCTAAAAGGCTGTATTGAACAGCTCACTTTAGAGTTAAATTTATGACTTAAATTTATGAGCAAAGGGGAGTGAGGCACAATATAAAACATGACATTTGCTTTAGGTTACTTGCAACTTGATGAAGAAGCCCGAGCATTTCTATCAAAATGTTTAACTGTTGTTAAATCATCTCAACAAGATTTTAATCATTAGAAGTCACTTCTCTTACTTACAAACATTTATTATTGTTGAAGTGTTATTACCAGTATGTCCTATTTTGGGAATTCTTTTCAATGGAAGTACCACTCTAGTTACAGAGGTTTTTTTAGACAGAGGTAGTAATTGTTAGATAATTTAATATACCTCAAGGCCTTTGAAAAACATTATAAATGAAATCAAAGCTAAGAATGTTCTTACATTAAATGTAAGTACTATTGGCAGAAGAAAAATAGTTCACCTGCTTTCAGAATCTATGTCTTGGAAATATTAAAGTGGATTCAGCTTAATGCATGGGTTTTAAATCCCATGATGTTAGTGGACGTTATTTTCTTTTTACTGAAGACTACTCAAGCAACTTCCATTTCTACTATAGCCATTTTCCTACCTAATGCTAATGTCACAATTACAAAGGATATATTCATGCTGCTACATGTTTAAAAGTTTTTGGTAGGAAAGGAAAAAATGCAAAATACAGATCTTCTGTCCATTCAGCTACAGTAGTAAAGTAACTTTGCCCAAATTGTTTTATTTTACATAACAAGTTTATTTTTCTAAAGGTATATAAACAATAAACAAAGTAAACATTCAATCAGATCTTAACTTCTGCCAAGCATTATCCGTCCTGCAATTGTTCCATTAAGTTCCAGGGTCTAAGCATCCTAAATTCAATAATCATCATCTTCATCAGAGTCCATTACTTTTCTTCTGTTGAACTGTGGGGGAAGGGGGATTAAAATAAATGTTATCTATTTAAAAAAGCATAACCCAGTTTTTCTCAGAAGAGAGATTTCTACCTTCTACAACAAGACATTTTTGTCTGTCTTTAAACCAACTTAGTGTTTTAGGTCTAAGGGATGGGGGAACGATGACACAAGAGCCTTAAAAATTAGACCCCTCAATATATGCAGCTGTGCTCCCCAAACTTCCACGTGTTACACAATGGGAATGTCTATGGGCTGAAAACTGTTTAGATACAACAGGTATACATTGAACATAACATTTAAAATAGCAATTTTTCTCTTTTTCCATGTGCATTTGGGGAAACTTACTTTAACTGTGGTTTTCTTTTCTGTTTGTTGGCTTACTTTTTCAAGGATTTCTATTAAACCTTGTTCTGTTACCTAGGAAAACCAGAAAGAAAAACAGTACTTTTAAGCAAAGAATTGACCTTAGCAGATTGAATCATTTTAGTCTTTTCTGGGGTGTGGAGGTAACGGTTAAGAGGGTAGAAGAGGTAGGACAAGAGGTTGAAACTACCAGTTATAACTGCCTTGGCTGGTGTGGTTCAGTGGGCTGAGTGTCGACCTGCAAACCGAAGAGCCAACAGTTTGATTCCTGGTCAGGACATGTGCCCAGGTTGCAGGCCATGTGCCCAGTTGGGGGCTTGAGAGAGGCAACTGATTGATCGATTGATCATTTCTGTCACACATTGACGTTTCTCTCCCTCTTTCTCCCTCCCTTCTCTTCTAAAAAGTAAATAAAGTCTTACCAAAAAGAAAAGAAAAAGAAACTACCAGTTATAACTGCAGGCATACCTCATTTTACTATGCTTTGCATTGCTGCACTTCACAGGTGTTGCATATTTTACAAAGTGAACGCAAGACCCTCCAGCAAAACAAGGATTATGACTCACTTCATTGCAGCAGTCTGGAACCTAACTCACAGTATCTCCGAGGTATACCTGTTAGTTTAAGTTCCAAATAGAACTGCTCTGCCAGTCATTTGAGCAGGGGTAAAGTATCCAGAAAAATCCAAAGTTAACAGGTATTTAGGAATACCTTTATCACCACTAGCAGACAAAGACAACCACCTACACTTCTTTGTTATGTCAGTGAGAGAGACACACCACCGCTTCCCTGGAGACCCTGATAAGCTTAAATGCAGAAGATAAGCCACTCAAAAAAGACGAATCAGTCACTGAGTCTTCCACACACCATTTTTAGTGTAAGGGTTCAGGGCAAGACTGATCCCTGCAGGGCATGGTGGCAGGAGAGGGCTTCCTGGTGCAAGTGAGGTGCATGTGCATCTTTAGGGACAGTCTTGCAAGAATATAACCATCACAGCATTACAGCAACACACGTAATAACCAGGAATTTTAGCACCCCTCACTTTTAAAACAAGCTTAACGTCTACCTACATTGGTACTATTTTAATACATATTACTGAGAAACCTTGTTTTCAGTATAGAAACTATTGAAGCCAGCTGACCCTAACAATCATTGGGTTACACAGACACCAACAAGGTTCCACAACAATGTCATGAAAAAAAAGCAGCAGAGGATTCTAGGAAAGGCAATTACCTTTTAGGATTTATGATCAATATACCTATTCTTGCCTTTAAAAATTTCTTTCTTGAAAGAGCCAATAAGATTTCTGTAACCAGAAGATGAAATTAACTTTTTTTTTTTTTTTTTTAAATTTTACAGAGAGAGGAAGGGAGAGAGGCAGAAACATCAATTTGCTACTCCACTTATTTATGCATTCATTGGTTGATCCTTGTACGTACCCTGACTGGAGACTGAACCCCCAACCTTAGCCTATTGGGACGACACTCTAACCAATTGAGTACCCAGCAACGGCAAAAATGACCTTTTGAAGGCATGTTTTCATAAAGTAGGTAACAACAAGTAAAACTGCATCAAGGCAGTCCAAGCTTACCTTCCCGCTTAGTTGTCCATATCTTGCCATCTGTATAAGGTAATTCTCTACTCCTTTAGTTTTTTCAGGCTTGACAAGTGCTAAATTACTTACTAAAAAGAAAAAAAAATACAAAAAGATGTCAAAACTAAATGCATTTATAAATTAAAATTGAGCAATGGCATTTCCAAAGCACTTCAAACTTATTTGTCTTGAGACTACCAACGTAGGAAGGGCAGAAGGTATTGTTACCCTCTTAAAAATGAGGAAACTGCCCTGGCCAGATGGTTCAGTTGGTTGGAGCATAATCCTATACACCAAAAGGCTGCTGGTTCAATTCCTGGTCAGGGCACATACTTAGGTTGTAGGTTCAATCCTCAGCCTCTCCTTCTCTCTTAAATCAATAAATATATCCACGGGTGAGGATTAACAAAAAATGAGGAAACTAAAGTTCAGCCATGTCAATCTCAGTGAAGGCCACACAGAAGTAGTGGCAAGGTTAAACTTGGGTCCTCAGAGTCTAAGCCCCATGCTTTTAAAAAAAATATATATTGGGCTGACCAAAAGTCCATTTAGTTCTTTCCATAAAATAAAACACACATTTTTTATTTTCACCAAGAACTTTACTGATTTAAGTATTTTGAGTATGTTGGCTACCTCCTGCATGGTATAATGTTTATTGTTCTCAATTAATGTCTCAATTTGATAGCTATCAACTTCAACTGGTCTACCTGACCGTGGAGTATCATCCAGCAAGAAATCTCCAGCATGAAACTTCGCAAACCACTTTTGACACATTCAGTCACAGCATCTCCATACACTGCAAAAATCTTTAGCGATTTTTACCTTTCTTGAAAAGTATATACCAAAAATGTTTCCTCTATTTTCAATATTAAAGTGGCTACACAAAAATTCACCAATGTTGATGGTTTTTAAAATTTTTTTAAAAGACTTTTTAAAATTTATTTTTAGAGAGAGTGGAAGGCAGAGAGAAAGATAAGGAGAGAACATCAATCAGTTGCCTCTCACGTGCCCCCAACTGCAGGCCTGGCCCAAAAGCCAGGGATGTGCCCTGACTGGGCATTGAACCAGCAACCTTTCAGTTCTCAGGCCAATGCTCAATCCACTGAGCCACACCTGCCAGGGCTTGATAAGGATTTTTTAATGCATACTGATATGACAGCTGTCGTAATACAATCTAACAAGATTGATTGGAATGACATTAAAGACAACTGAGCACTACCACAGCCATCTTACAGAAAAACAAATGAACTTTTTGGCCAACCCAAAATGACTGCCCTCTGAAAAATAAGTTACATATATAACTACATATATAATAAGAATTCACCTAAAGCCACCTCTTCTAAACTGGGTTGCAAGTTACAATACAGAATAGTTCATTCCAATTGGCTCATTTAATTTTTTTTCTACATGGTTTTCTTCTTGGTTTTTATGATGAAAAATTTTAACTAAAGGAGATACATGGTTTTCTCTGTTTTTTATTATGAAAGATTATTAAGTAAAATGGAGAATACAATAAATCTCCCAAGCTCCTATCACCAAGGTCAACCACTAGCAACACTTTGTAACTGACTTAACAGTTGTTGCTTACAAATTTTACTTAATGAGCACTGGGTAGATCATCTCCTTGGTAAGACAACCAAGCTGATACATTTAATAATTTCAGTCCATTTCTTTAGGTTTAGGAACTTCATATTTCTTACAAATACCTGTATTTCAAGTGTTTTTAAGTTAAATAAATATTTAATCTAGGGATAGCAATAATTTCACATCCCACCATTCAACTAACCCAAGCCAATTTTATGGAAATAAAGAAAACTGAAGATGCTTACACCGGGCCCGGGCTGACTGATCCAGAACTTGGGCTAAGATACTGTTCCTCATTTCTGCTTCTCTACAACAAAAACAGATCAACAAAATTAGAACTAAGCTGTCAGCATTCTTACTGAACACACAAAAATGTAACTTAATACATTTCCCAAGATGAGAGGTTGCTGTATATATAGATTGCACTATAGTAGGTGCTATGTGGATGGCAGCAGCTATTATTACAGTAGAAGAGTCCACTCAGACTCACAGATGGAAAGCAGATGATAGCCAGTGGACAGGGGAGGTTAGGGGGTAGACGTATTGAATAAAAAGGAAAAAGGACTCATGGACATGGACAACAGTGTGGTGATTGCTGGTGGGAGGGAGATATAGGGGGGCTAAATGGTAATGGGAAAAAATACAACAAAAATTAAGAAGGAAGGGAGGGAGGGTGGGGAGGAATCCACTCTTGCTCTCAAAAGCCAGCTTTATATGTACGGGTGTAAACCTACCAGGGTGAAAGATACGACTTTACATTTTTATAATTTCTGGAGGAGTTTCAGTTCAGTCACCATTACCAATATTTATTAAGTACCTACTGTGTGAGAGGTGCTAAAAATTTAAACATTGGATTAAAAGACTAAATGATTAATTGGTGTAATTACCTCAGAGATGAAGATTTTGACACCTAGGGAAACTATAAGGAGATACAGGTAACTGTGACAAAACTAGAACCAAATCCCATTGTTTCAAGACTCAGTTCTATTTTGGGGGTGGGAAGGTGGAATGAAATTATAACTCTGCAACTATATTTGCACCTTTCTACCTATCCAAGTGGGAACTAGTTTATGTTCATAGCACAGTGGTTTCAAACTTCTTTTAAGTATCAGCAATTTTTTTAAGTGAAGTCCTTCAGTCCTTCAAGAAACTTAATACTCAACACAGACAAAAGCAGAAATTATTTGGCTGAAATGAGGGGGAGCTGGGGCTGGCTATGCTCACTATCCACCCCTATCAGAGGAGCCCTAGAGTTCATGGAACACAATGTAAAGTCCATTCCATGGGCCATTTCCTTACTGCACCTGAGTACTTCAATTCAACCCTGCCATAAACAACTGTTACTATATTTCACTGAATCTAAGATGCCATTGATTGTTAAGATGGACCACGGTGTTGTGTACTTCTAATTTAAAGAGCCTAGATTAGGAGTCAAATAGAAGACCCCATACTCAACGCTGGGGCGTCAAAGAGCAACAAACACAACAAGGTAAACAAGCAATTAACCTGCCACACAGAAAGGGACAGCAAATAAGGACGCATGCATCAAACCTGGCCCTGAGTGGGAGAAAAAAGTTCCTTTGAGAACCTGAACTTCAAGCTTTAGTTATGCATATTTACTGTCTGAATGCACACCACCGGGGAGGAGGAAGGCAGGAGAACCTCAAGCATAGAATTTAATTTTAAGATGTCTCAGATTAGAACTGTACCCAAGTGAAGGCAGAAGCAAAAGTAAATCCTCTCTGGAAGAATCCAGGACAACAGTGACTGATCGTGAAACCCACCCCAATTTCAGTTATGTTAAAATGTGAAAAAAGGTACATCTTAGAATCAATGAAATTCATGCATCTTCACTTCTTAGCACTATCCCAGGTGTTCACTGTCTTCCTCCACTAAAATAAGCCGTGCACGTGCACCTTCTCTGACGTGCCTATTTCTATAGGCAATACCCAGCATAGTGCCTGACCTACAGCAGGTGCTCAATAAATATTCACTGAATGAGTTAAAAGGCAGCATGAAGGAGAGAGGGAAAATGGGGAGTTATTCAATAAGCATAGTTTCAGTTTTGCAAGATGAAAAAGTTCTAGAGATCTGTTGCACAAAAACGAGAATATAGTTAACATGACTGAACTGTACACTTACAAATGGCTATCACAGTAAATTTTATGTTATGTGTTCTTTTATCACAGAAATTAAAAGGTAGCATGATGGGGCAATTATTCAGTCAATAAACCTGCCAAGTGCAAGGTATTCTGCCATGTGCTATGATAAAATAAGAATAGTGTAACAGTTAACAGTTATCTAGCACTTACTAAATTTGAGGTACTGGACCCATGTAACTCTCACAACATCCCTACGAGCTAGTCCTAATATTGTGCTCTTTTAAAGACAGTAACAGTTTAGCAGAGAAACAAACAGCAACCAGTTAAATACAAGGCAGTAAGTACTGTGAGGTTTATTTAATTAACAAATTAATAAGATACCCTGGTGATTTATGAAAAATCACTATTCCAGGAAAAACTTAGATTAACACGCTATTAAAATAACTACAGTTAAAAAAAACCACTTGTGAAACGACCCTTCAGAGCTCCAGCCCATACCTGTGCTTGGCTTCCTGCTGTGCTGCATCGCCAGGATCCTGAAAAAATAATTTTGTCTTAGCCAAATAATTAATTTCACAGAGAAAAAAACAGAAGGTATTTTGTTTCAGATACCTAATAGTGTCCTGCAGTGGTAGATACCAAATTCTTGGCAAATAATTGAAAGCTGGGCCTCCCAGAAATCAACGGGATGGTTTCCACTTAATAAAATGCTTTGATAAGCTTCTAAAGTCACAATCTAATGTGAAGCTTTAGACTACAAACCACCCTTAAGGAGGGGAGTCCCGGTACCATGAAAACGTGTTTTACGAGGAAAGAGTATTTTCTGGGGCTAAAATATGTGCTGGGTATTGGCGACGCTGACGACTCAAACGGGGCTGCCGGGGAGACACTCGCGCTCCATCCCTCACACGGTCCGCCCCCTCTCCTGACAGCACAGTCATTGCTCGCGTATTCTACCTCCGGGATGAGTGTTCAGTGTCTGGCGCCCTCCCGGGGCTGTCACTCGGCACGGGACGCTCCCCACTCTACCTCACTGAGCAGACCCTCAACAACTGTCAGTCGCCTACTGCAGTCAGAATTCTAGAAAACAATTTCGCTGGAACCAGTAGTCAAAACAGACTAAACATTCTGCTTCGGACCGAAGCTGGTCCGGCCGCGACCTGTGGGGAGAGTCAAACCCCACCCGAGACAGCACGTGGTCGGCTCGCTGCCCGAAACCCCACACGACGCGACAGGGAGAGAGGCCCAGTACGGCCTTGGGGGCAGCGGCGGGATTCCCCGCCAGCGGGCCCTGCCCCGGTTGCGGCGCCTAGAACCTCTGCCTGGGGCCGCGCCCTCTACCTCAGGCGAGGGCGGCGCCCCGCAGGAGGCTGGGCAAGGCTGGCGGCGGGCGCGCTCACCCCATGCTTCGCCTGAAGCTCGGCCAGCCTCTGCTTCCGCAGAGCCTCCAGCTCCTCCTCCGCCATGGTGCGACCTTCCAGGTAAAAGAGCCGCAACCGCGCCTTGGCCCACTCGGAGCTATTTCTCCCAGGCTCAAGGGGAGAGCGCGGCCTTTCTAACTGCGCAGGCGCCCGCAACGCCCAGGCATCATCAATCCACCCCGGAGCTGCGCAGCCAGGGCGCCTGGAGAGGCCCGATTCCGCGATTGCAAGTCGGCGGGCTTGAGGTGGCGCTACCGGCAGAAACCGTGCTGAGGACCTTCTCCAGCGCGGCCCCACCTCGCTTTCCTGAGTCGATGCTCTGCTCTTGCGGGTATCACTTGGGCTAGGACCCGGGTGTGAGTGGGATGAAATAGATACCTAAAAACACGTCATCGTAAGCAAGTAAAATAGTAACAAGCAAAATTTTTGGTGGCCTATTGACAGGCTCATGTTATCTCCATTTATAGATGAGGATCCTGGGGCTTAGAAAATGTTCTAACACTGGATTGTAGTGAGGGCTGCACAACTCTTAAATTTGCTAAAAAGACATTAAATTGTACACTTAGGTTGGGCTAAAGGGGCACCAGCGGCGGAGATAGAAGCTCGCTGGTCACCGATCATTAAGAAGTCAAGATAAAGCAAACTTGGAGGGTGAGACTTGGGCACAGACAGGCCTTTCTCCCAGATTTAGAGCCAACTTCTGGACACCACTTTCCCCAGGAGGGCCTGTCGGAGGCTGTTGGGGTGGGCAGCTGTGGCTGCGTGAACTCCCTGGCGGGGGTGGTGTGGGGAGAGTGCAGCTTTGGCGTAGGGGAACTGCTCTGTGTGGAGTAACCTGTTATTAAAAAACCTGCTGTTTTTTCAATTGTGACGAAGTATAATATAAAACTTTCCATTTTTGACTATTTTTAATGTACAGTTCAATAGTGTTAAGTACATTCACATAAACTCTTTTCATCTAGTAAAACTGAAACTCTATACCCATTAAATAACAACTCCCCAATCCCCTTCCCCTCTCTCCCCTTAGTAACCTTAGTAACCACCATTCTTTTCTCTGTCCCTTAAGATTTTGACCTGCTACCTCATGTAAATGGAATCATACAATATTTGTCCTTTTATGACTAGTTTATTTCACTTAGCATTCTGTCCTCCAGGTTCATTCATGTTGTAGCATGTGTTAGAATGTCCTTCCTTTTAAGGCTGAAAAATATTCCAAGGATATAGATATATCACATTTTGTTTATCCACTCATCCATCAATAGACACTTGGGTTGTTTCCACTTTTTGGCTATCGTTAATAATGCTGCCACGGATATTATTTAGAATATAAATATCTCTTTCAGTTCTTGGGGATAGAGAATCTATGTGTTTTGAATTCAACATTCTTAAACATTAATAATGCCTTATCTCTAATTTGTAAATAAATAGACAAGATTTGGGGGTGTGGAGACAGTGATAAAATGGTAGTCTGAAGTCTTCCATTTCAGTGTGTCGCAGTTGAGACCCTTCGTGGACCATTTATGAAATGGGTTATGGGATGGCTCACATGATTTCCACTGATAAATGTCAGCCTTAGGTCAGAAGGATGTAGCTGTACCAGGGCTGGTGCCTTAGTGACACTCACAAGGAAGTGAGGAAACCAGAATCATGTGAAAACAGAATCAGCAAACAGGTATTTTCATGTCATTCTTTAAATTAGAACACACTCCAAGTAGATCAAACATTTAAAGGTTTAAAAAAATATATCACAAAACTATGATAAATTTTAAATAATCACACAAATACATAAATTTCATTGAATAGTTACAGAAATACATAAAATTTAGTCACACAAATACATAAAGTTTAAAGGCAGAAATGAAAGGACTCTCCATAAAATCATCTGGATTGGGCCTCTCTTTAAATATATTCTTCTGACAGCTTTTAAATTTCTTCTAGGGTCATCAGCCTGTTCAGGTTTTCTTGTTTCTTCTCAAGATAGGTTTAATTTCTAGAGAATCATTCATTTCCATCAGGGTCTCACATTTTAGAAATGTTTCACCATCACACCTGTATGTGTGGTTAGAACCTTTTTTTAGGGATTGCTGGTTTGATTGTTGACTTGATTTATCTGGGTTATTGTTTCCTTGTTGTTGTTTTTTTTCTTTTTTAAAAATTTTATTTATTTATTTTTAGAGAGAGGGGAAGGGAGGGAGGAAAACATCAATGTGAGAGAGAAGTATTGATCAGCTGCCTCTCACATGCTCCCTGACCTGGACTGAACCTGCAACTCGGGCACGTGCCAGGACTGGGAACAAACCAGCGACCTTTCATTTCACAGGACGACACCCAACCAACTGAGCCACACTGCTCCAGGCTCCTTGTTTTTCCTGATTATACTTCCCAGACAGTTTAACATTTCACTGTTGTTGTTTTTTTTTCTACCCAAATAACTCAAATTGATCAGTGTTCTTTCAGAATTGATTGCTTTCTGCTTTTATCTGTAGTTCTACCTCTTATATTTTCATTGTCATTTTCTGAGACTGTAAAGTATGAGAGTAGGGAAGAAGGCAAAGACAGGATCAGGAAATGAGTTAAGAGGCTATATATTTAAATAATATACCTATGTTGATTTTTTTTTGTTAGAGAGGGAGAGGAAGAGAGAAAAAAAAATCAATTTGTTGTTCTACTTATGTATGCATTCATTGACTGATTCCTGTGTGTGCCTGACCAGGGATCAAACCTGCAACCTTGGTGTATAAGGGCAATGCCCTAACCAACTGAGCTACCCGGTCAGGGCTGTTATTTCTTAATTTGTATAGTTTAGATATTCTATAAATGACCTCCTAAGATGGATAAAGAGTTAACACATTTCCAAGACCTCTGTTTCCCTTCCTTCTTAGTTTCCAAAAATACATGTTACTATTTTTTAGTTCTGAAGTTGGTTATTGTTATATCTTTAAGTAATATAGTTATACCTGTTTCTTATGCCATCAAGTAGAGACAATTTATTAAAACAATTTTTATTGAATTCTTAGGGTGACATTGGTTAATATAATTATATAAATTTCAGATATATAGCTCTACATCATCTATATACTGTGTTGTGTGTTCACCGTTCCTGGGTTGCAAATTCAATCTGAGTTCAATTTCCTGGTTGGGTCTTCTAAAGGAGACGACCTACTGATGTCTCTCTCACACATCAACATACCTCTCTCTCTCTTCCTCTCTCTCTAAAATCAATAAACATATCCTCAGGTGAGGATTAAAAAAGAAAAAGTAGCCCTGGCTGGTGTGGCTCAGTGGATTGAGGACTGGACTACAAAGTGAAGCGTCGCCGATTAGATTCCCAGTCAGGGCACATGCCTGGGTTGTGGGCCAGGTCCCCAGTGAGGGGCACAAGAGGCAGCCACACATTGATGTTTCTTTCCCTCTTTATCCCTCTCTTCCTCTCTTAAAATAGATAAATAAAATCTTTTTTAAAAAAAGACTCATAAAAGTGAAATTTTAAAAGAATATAATAAAAATAAAAATAAAAGTACACACACAAAGAAGCAACCAAGGAATAAATAAGTGGAATAATAAATCGATGATTTTGTGTGTGTGTCTCTCTCTCAAATCAATAAAAATATGAAATTTTTAATATTTTGTCCCATTTGATGGATTGCCTTTTAATTTTGTTGATAGTGTCTTTGACACTCAGAAGTCTTTAATTTTGATAAAAACAAACTTACCTATTTTTCTTTTGTGGCCTGTGCTTTTGGTGTCATAGCCAAGAAATCATAGCCCAATCCAGTGTCATAAAGCTTTTTCCCTATATTTCCTTCTAGAAGTTCTCCAGTTTTAGCTCTTATATTTAGGTCTTTAATCTTTTTATGAGGTTGTTGTTGTTTTTTTGTATATGGTGTAAGGTAAGGGTCGAATGGTTTTTGTTTTTTATTTTTGCATGTGGATACCCAGTTTTCCCAGCATTATTTGTTGAAAAGACTGTCCTTTCCCCCATTGAATGGTCTTCGCACCCTTGTCAAAAATTATTTTAACCATATATGTGAAATTCTACTTCTGTGCTCTCCATATTCCATTGTTCTATATGTCTGTCTTTATGCCAGTATGATATACTATGTTGAATATTGTATGTAGCTTTGTTGTAAATTTTGAAATCATGAAATGTGAGACTTTCAACTTTGTTCTTTTTCAAGATCGTTTTGGCTATTCAGGGTCCCTTGAGATTCCATATGAATTTCATTAAAAAAAATTTTTTATTGATTTTTTTCAAGAGAAACATTGATTTGTTGTTCCATGTATTTGTGCATTCATTGGTTGATCGTTTTATGTGCCCTTACCAGGCAACCTTGGTATATCAGGGTGATGCTCTAACTGAGTTACCTTGCGAGGGTCTCCATATGAATTTTAAAATAAATTTTTCTACTTCTTCAAAAATCATCATTGGGATTTTGATAGAGATTACATTGAATTTGTAGGTTGCTTCGGGTAATATTGTCATCTTAACAATATTAGGTCTTTCCATCCGCAAATACAGGATATCTCTCCATTAATTTGTGCCTTAATTCTTTCAGTGATATTTTGAAGTTCCTGGTATACAAGTCTTTGGCTCCTTCGTTTAGCTTATTTCTATTTATTTTTTCTTTTATAGGCTAATGCAAATGGAATTGTTTTCTTAATTTCCTTTTTCGATTGTTCATTGTTAATGTACAGAAATAAAACTCACCCTGGCTGGTGTGGATTGAACACTGGCCTGCCAACCAAAGGGTTGCTGGTTAGATTCCCAGTCAGGGTACATGTCTGGGTTGAGGGCCGGGTCCCCAATAAGGGGCATGTGAGAGGCCACCACACATTGATGTTTCTCTTCCTCTCTTCCTCCCTTCCCCTCTGTCTGAAAATAAAAAAAATGAAAAGAAATAAAACTGATTTGTGCATGTCAATTTTGTATCTTGCATCTTTGCTGAATATATTTATTAGTTCTTTTTCTTATTGGAATCTTTAGGCTTTTCTACATTATAAGATAAAGTTGTTTGCAAACAGAGATAATTTTACTTCTTCCTTTCAAATCTGGATTCCCTTTATTTCTTGCATACTGCCTCTGGCTAACTTCCAGTATTATGGTGAATAGATAAGGTGAAAGTAAGCATTCTTACTTTGTTCTTAACTTTATTTA